AGACTGCATTTAAAAATCTTTGGGACACCACATGCAGTTTACTCTCTGCCTTCAGGTGTCAGTTGGCATCTCAGAGTCCCTCATCCCCTGCTTAATTTAGTGGATTTATTCCCCCTCTGTGTGCAGTTGGGTGAGTTGAATGCATTGTCTGCCCCACCATGTGTAACTAGTTGCAAGTTCCTTTTGCCAACTGCTCGCAAGAGAAGGTGGAATTTGAATCGTGAGGTGACCCTGGCACCCCAAGGGCCAGAATCTACATTCCTTCAACTGTGCCTTTTGAATTATGTCACACTCAGTGTAGGTCATATGGGGACATAGATGCATAGAAGTCTCCTGAAGCAGTGATGCACCTGCTAATCTTGTTGATTGTTCTGAACTATAATTTCTTAATGCTGTGGCATTGCCTAGGAAGAGTTGCACATTCTAAATTTGGGTTTGTTAGTACAAATGTGTGTGTATCATCTGTCGCTGGAAATCCTTTACGCCTTGAGTGAGTTTTTGTTGATGTGCCTTCTTTATTCCTGGAGAGCCCTTGGAGAATGAAGTGTTACAGTCGCACGGACCTGTACTGAGGTCAGAAGAATAACAGCAAACTTGCATTGTCTAAGGAGAGCCCACGATTGAAACCCACCTTGGGAAATGCTGCTTGATAGCCATAGAGCTCAGCCATGGAAATGCCTGTTGGCCTGTTTTCTACCTTTACTTCCATCTCCCTGCTGCAGCACCAAGGCTGAGTGTAGGCTGTGCAGCTGTAGATCACAGCCCAATGGGTGATCTGTTCTCTCTTCTCTCACTCGCTTTTTTTTTTTTTTTAATTTGGATGGAGCTAATAAGTATATTTTTGTAAAAACAGCAATTTCTAACAATTAGCAAGTGATATCACAGCAGAGTCTTTGAAAGGTTATCTTGCAATGTCATTTTCTTGATGAATGTGTTTCCACTGCCCTGTCACCTGTGAACAGACGTGTTAGCAGGCCAGTGTGCTTCAGCTCTGGCGACTTTGATTTATTTGCTCTGTAAATTGGGACCAAAGCAATAATGGAAAGTGACATTAATTGTTTAACAGAGTCTTCTTTGTCACATCCGTTGCCTTCTCTGGGACATATGATTGTTGAAACTTGTACAAAACTAATTGAAATTGCCAGGATGAGGGACAGTGTCCACTCAACTTTACATATAGAAGTATTGGTAGAGCTCCCAACATTGAAGTGTCATCAGCAAAGATCAAACCTTCTTCCAGCTTCCTATGATTAAAGAGAACACAGAGACTTTGAAATAATAACATTTTTCTTCCTTAATTCAAGAATAACTTACCAAAATAAATTGTGTAGAAGGATCTCTCTGAGTCACCCATATACATGGATGATAGCAAAATATTTAATCATTTCTAATGGACAATGGCTGCAAATAATATGTATAGCCCTACCTGTATATACTGGTTGAATATTAACCCACCCTGCCTGCATACCCCAACACACACACACATACACTCAAACACACCATGCCCATCTCCCATTCCACAAGGCTTCCCCACCCATTGTGGTTCCAGAAGAAAGGAGAATTAAAATAGTTGGTTGTTTAATCAGATCTTGTAAATTAATGATGACATTATCAAGCTCCAGTATTTCTGCCACTGTATTTGTTATACATTCACTCGGGATTATTAAAGAAATTAGAGAAAACTGGTTAATTTAAGTGTTCTTTGTCATTTTGACTTGGTTGGAATTATCACAGTTTGTTTACATTAGGGATAAAACCAAAGTGCTATTGTCTGATATGACTGAAAGCAAATAGAGGCTTGTCGTATTGCTGGAAAACCAAACATAATGTTTAAATCGGGATAGACAAAATGACTCACTTATTGGTAAACATTCCTAACTATTTTTCTTGAGCTATTTGAGCTTCAGTAAAATAAGCCTTTTTAAAAAATAGGATACCTGGAGAAAATATTCAATTTAAAGAAAGTGTATATCTGTATGTGTGTGTGTATGGGAGGTATATACAAATCATATTTTCAAAGATTATTTTATTAAATAGTATAGATACTTATATTATTGTAAATATTATTTTGAGGTGATTTATAATACTGATTTTATTTAAATATAATTTTATTCAGAGCAGTTTAATAACCTCCAAGTGGTTTTTCATATGTGAGGGAATCTAAAGTAGAATAAAAAGAGGGTGATTGGCAACTTTGGATGCCAGATTATGATCCTAGGTAGAATATAAGATAAAATAATTTCAGTATTTTTATTATTAGGCCTACATGGACAGGGTCAGAGGCAATGGGGATGGGGGCTGTGTTCACTAAATGTTGAATCGTGCAATTTGGATTTCAGCAAACTGGCCAGTCTATGGATCGCATGTGTGGTGCCTTTTTGAAATTAACAATTTATTCCTCCGACTAGGATTTACCCTCTTGTATTAGAGTCTTAAAACTCATACAGTTGTCAAACCACACAGTGTACCCAAACTACTTGACTGAGAACCTCAAATCCAGGGGCATTAGGAAGGATGCATTATGCAAATATAAAAATGCCGATTAAAGTCTGCAGTGAGTACAAATGGCTCTTCTTGGCTTCTTGAATCTGAAAGAGTGAGAAGACTGTAGTTTTCCTCCTGGATGGAGACTGTTCAGTAATGAGGGGAAAACAATTTTTATGTGAAAATAGAAAACATACGTGATAAAGCCCTGCCTAATTTCTCTAGTAATACAATTTGATTTTCTGATTAGCTGTCTTATTCTGTGATTCTTGTAATTTTGTCAGGTCAATTAACTGGAGTTCAGTGCTAGAGAGAAAGGAAGTGTGGGCACTGCTGGCTTCATTAGATGTCAGCAGCTTAGGTGCATTTTGTAATAGAATCTGTGTGTGATAATTTAGCCGATATTGTTAATGTCATAGCATACAGAATTTATAAAGAAAAAAAGACTTATGAAGCAAGTCAAATTGAACAATGTGAAGTGCTAAGACAAAAAAAAAAAAAGAAAATGCTCCACACAACATATATTGTAGGCAATAAATGCAGTTCAGTGAATTATTCAGCAAAGTAATCAATGAATAGCTATACTATGTGTCAGCACTGTACTGGTTGTTCAGGTGTATAGAATATAGCACATTGTCCTATTAACAGGGAGAGTCCCTGAGTGGTACACATGGTTAACATGCTTAACTACTAACTGAAAGTTTGGAAATTCAAGTCCACTCAGAGGTGCCTCAGAAGAAAGGCCTGGTGATTTACTTAAAAAAAACCAGCCATTGAAAACCATATGGAGCACAGTTCTACTCTGACACACATAGAGTTGCCATGAGTCAGAATCAACTTGACAGCAACTTTTTTTTTTTTTTTTTTAAATTAACAAGGTGCGTAAACTCCAGTTTGGGAGTCCCAGAAGATTTTTGCAAGAATATTGAAATAAACATTATCTTTCATAATGAATTATGTACAGATTCTTCCCTTCTTTGGAGGGTCTTTGGAGGCAGAGTTTTGTCTTGCTTCTCTCTGCATCTCCAACACCTAGCATGACCTCTGGCACAGAGTAGGTGTTTCAAAAATGTTCATGAACTGAATGACTGAAGATTAGTTCTCCAAGGCTGTGTTGGTGACAAGTCTGGGAGGTGGGAAAACAAGTTAGAAGATATTTGCAGAAGCCCCTCTAGGAAGTAATGCTGCAGTAGGGTAGTAACCATGGCAGCAAGAAATGAATGCATTTAAGAGATATTACAAAGTAAGACTTAACTTGGTAACTGACCAGGTAAAGAGGAGTCAAAGTAGTTCAGTGTTTAGATCTGAAGAATTGTTTATCCAAAATAGGCAAGTAGAGAGAAAGAGCAGTTTCATTCTGAAAGGTCCTAAGTTTGGTTTTTGGTGATGAGGGAGCTGTGATTGGGCAGAAATGTCCAGTAGGCAGTTGCAGATCCATGACTAAAGGATGAGACAGATGTCACAGAGAGAAAGCAATGATTTTGGAGTGTTCAGTGATGAGATTAAAATTGAATCCATGAAAGTGTATAGTTTCTCTTGATATAGTTGTAATTTCTGCTGGTGCTCAAAGAGAGGTTAGCTAAATATTTTTTGGAGAGTATGCCGTAAAGGTGGTCCCTGGGTGGTGCAAATGGTTTACACTCAGCTGTTAACTGAAAGGTTGACAGTTTGAACCCACCAAATGGTACCACAAAAGAAAGTCCAGGTGATCTGCATCATTAAAGATGATAGCCACGAAAACCCTACAGAGGATATAGAATGCAGCACATTGTCCTGTTAATACCATCCTCCAAACTTTAATAATGTGCTTTAGCATGCCATCGAGAGGTTGTTTTTCTCACATCTCTAAAGTTTTTAAAAGTGAAAGGTGTTCCACGTGAGCACATGAAGACGCTATTTGTCATCTTTTGCATTTTGAGCTTTTCTAGTCTGGAGAATACCTTGTAAGTAATTGTGATTTATTTATTCCCAAATTTCTCCATGTGTCCATGCCATTGACTTTGCTGTCTAGAACCATAATTTCTTTAGATTTGACATCAGTTCTACTCTGTAACACATCGGGTCGCCATGAATTGGAATCAACTCAACAGCAACGGTTATGCTGTAAAAGAGATGAAAACACTGTATTTGAGAGTGAAATACATAATGGTTAAAATTCTTTTAAGCCCCGTGATTCTCTAAATCTTCTTTTAGGTAGAGACACGAGGCATATACATATGGATGATGACTAAACAAGATAGAGTTACATATAGCAGTATTAAGCACTGACATAAATTACTGACTTAGCTCAACAATCAGGGATTGGTACATTCGAGGTATTAATAAATTGTGTGATTCAGCCTAAAAGTGAATTTGGAGTTTGAGGAAGCCATGATCTTTGTGGTCTGGCATGGGCATTCAAGGTTTCGTGTAGAATCTACTCATTTGGTTAAACGTATTTGGTCTATGCTGATTAACGTTACCTACCTCCCAACATCCACTCACACGCGTCTTCCTCTGTTTTTCTGTTTTTGCAGAAGATAGATGAAGAGAATGAGGCAAACTTGCTAGCAGTCCTCACAGAGACACTGGACAGTCTTCCCGTGGATGAAGACGGATTGCCCTCATTTGATGCGCTGACAGATGGAGATGTGACCACTGACAATGACGCTAGTCCTTCCTCTATGCCTGACGGCACCCCTCCGCCTCAGGAGGCAGAAGAGCCGTCTCTAGTAAGAACCCTTCCTACTGTTTAACAGCAATTGGAGTTGCCTCTGGCTACCCGCTGCATGGGTATGATGTAGTAACAATAAGGTTTGGATTCTTAATTTAGACTGATGCCACAGCAATCCCCAAGCACACCTAGCGTTGTAAATTCTGTGATTCTCTGTTTGAAAATGTTGAAAATACAGATTTTCATGTGCTGTATTTGTCTTTTATATTTGATTTTTAAAATTTTATTTTGTTGCTCGTGCGTATGTGTGTTTACTTCTTATTATGTTCATGGTAAAAATCTAGAAAACGTAGAGAACCAAAAGGAATAGACTAAAATTTCACCTGTAATTTCAAGTAACCTTTTTTTTTTTTAATTTAAAATATATCATGAACATGTTTGTGAATTTCAAATATGGGCATCATTTTTAATGATTGCATATTATCTCATTGTACAGAGAGGTCCTGATTCATTAAGCAATCCCTTATGGTTGGATATGTAATATTTTTCCTTCCTATTTTTTGCTATTATAATTTATTTAATAATTAACATATTTGTAGTTTTATTCTTACACATGTAATTCTAGAATAGAATTGATAGGTCAAGGGGCATGCAACATTTAAAGGCTTTGGATCCATATTTCTTAGGAAGATTGAAAAATAATAGCATGTTCACAACCCAAGTTACTGCTTTAATTTATGGTATGCAATGACAAGTGAATTTGTTGGCAGTGAAGGCTGAATTTCCTTTTCAATGCAGTGCTTGTCCAAAATTTTATTAGTTCTAAGACACAGTTTACCTTCTCATCTATGCTAGCCATTTGCCATTTGCTATAAATTTGATATGACAGCATGCTGTATAAATTATGGAATGCCATCCTCCGAACTTTAATAATGTCTTTAGCGTGCCATTGAGAGGTTGTTTTTCTCACATCTCTAAGTTTTTAAAAGTAAAAGGCATTCCACGTAAGCACGTGAAGACCCTACTTGTCATCTTTTGCATTTTGAGCTTTTCTAGTCTGGAGAATACCTTATAAGTAATTGTGATTTATTTATTCCCAAATTTCTCCATGTGTCCATGCCATTGACTTCACTGTCTAGAACCATAATTTCTTTAGATTTGACACCAGATTCTATTCATCCACACAGTCCGTTCAGTTGGAAGGGATTATTGACTCAGGGACATATTACACGTCAGAGTGGAGAGGTCCTTGGAGGGTATCAAGTCAGGTAAATGAGGAAATAAAGGTCCATAGACAGGGGGACCCCTACCTGAGCCCATGCAGCTGGAGTCAGAACCCACATCTCCCGGTCTACAGGCCAGGACTCTACCCACTTACAAATCATTTTCTTCCTTTCTGAAATCAGCAATTGATACTCGTTTTTCCAAAACTTCTTTGTATCACTTAATTTTGAGACTTGGTTGTGAAATATGATTCAAAGCATTCCCAAATACTTCATTTATTGCCACTTGATACATTTGAGTTATTTGAGGGAAAATGGATATATATATATATATCCACAAACATGTTGCCGTCCAGTTGATTCCAACTCATAGCGACCCTATAGGACAGAGTAGAACTGCCCCATAGGGTTTCCAAGGCTGTAATCTTTATGGAAGCAGACTGCCACAT